TTCCGAGGAGTGGCTGGTAGGTCTGAACTGCCAGCCTTCTGGTTAGCAGTCAAGAGCCTTAGGCATTATGCACAGAGCAACGGAAACAAATTGAGGGACAAGCTATATTGAGCCAAAGAGCTAATGGTTTTAGCCCAGGCAAAGATGGGACTGCAGGGGAGAAGGTGGGTGATTCTCCTCAACAAGGTCCTGAAAAATCAGCAAATGAAGAACGTTGGGGCCTGGGGAGGAGAGCAGTCAGTGGGACAGAGGGAATAGCAACTTGAAATATTCCAGCAATGGCTCCAGGACACAGAACAAGGAGTTGACTGCAGCTTTTATCTCATGGCTCTCTTTGTGGTTGTTGTTATGTGCCGTCAAGTCAGACCTGACTCATAGCGACGCCTCCTTGGGTTTCCGAGGCAGTATCACTACGGAAGTAGATTGCCCAACCTTCCTTCCGAGGAGTGGCTGGTGGGTTTGAACAGCCAGCCTTCTGGTTAGCAGTCAAGTGCTTTAGGCACTATGCTACCAGAGCTTCTAAGGAAGACAATAGGGAGCTGAGAAAAGCCATGGGCCAGACGGAGACAGGTGCAGCGCCTGGGAGACCTTCAGGCCCAGTCAGTGCACAGAGGAAGGAGAAGAGACACAGCGTGGGGTCCCTGATGCCTGGTCTCCAGGTCCTCCTTCATTACATTCCATTTCTTGTCTTTTCATTCATCATCTTTACCTCATTATTCTTTTCCTTTTTGATCTTGGGGAGTGTTTGAACTTGGTATTCTAAGTAATTAATTCTGTTTTCTGCTGCACTATCTTCAGTATTTCACCATATTTTAAAATTTAGCAGTCTTATTTTGCTCCCCAAAGCAAGCTTTCTTGATAGTGGATTGGTCTCTTTAATAGATGCAATATCCTCCTGAATTGAGGTCATGAATTGGTTTTGTTTGTTTGTTTGTTTTCTCCTTTTTCATGAAGAAGGAGTCCTGGTGGCGGTGGTTAAGTGCTCAGCTGCTAACCTAAAGGTCAGTGGTTTGAACCCATCAACTGCAGAGCTGATGTGGCAGTCTGTTTCTCTAAAGGTTACAACTTTGGAAATTTTATGGGGCAGTTCTATTCTGTCCTATCTCTAATGTCACTATGAGTCAAAGTTGATTTCACAACAGTGGTTTTTTGTTTTGTTTTGTTTTGCTTTTTAAGCATAAAGCAAGTCTTCTGCATAAGGGGATATTATTTACCCAATAATAATTGAGTGACATCCTTCTTTTATACTATGGAGTCTATTTGAATGACTGATCTTTTAATCTTTCTGTTCATTTTCAAAGAGGCAAGTTGGGATTTACAATGGGATATCTGTATGTGTGTGTGTGTGTGTGTGTTTTAGAGGGAATGGGGCAGAGTTGCCTAAAATGAAATGTTAATCGTTAATCATAGATGTCATATAGTACAAATTCCAAAAGATGTAAAGAAATAAAATGACGAATGAAAGAAAATTCTCCTAAAGTGAAAGGACACTTAATTTTTAGATCGAAAAAGACATTCTATATCACGTAAATTAATGAAGGAGAAAAACCACTGAATAGAGCTAGGTAAACTTAAAAATTTTAAGATTAGAGAAAAAAATTATTCAGGTAAAAAAATAGGAACACTTACCAAGAAAAATCTAGGTAATAAACATTAGAACACTGAGTTGGAGAAAGTTCCCCTGCACATTGTTGAGGGAATGGAATGAATAAATGAAAAACTGAGAGTATGCTCACCAAACTGTTACCAGGGCTGCTCTAGCAGAATTTGGGGAGATATTTACGTTCTTTCAATTAATTTTTTTTCTATGTTGCTTTGATTAGTCACCCTGAAATTTTTTAAATATAACAAATAGATTGCAATATAGTAAAAAGCTATTTTTATTTGGAAAAAGAAATCCATGGAATATCTTTAAAATTTTCTATCCTATACTTTTGAAGAAATTCCTAACAGTGGAAGTTGACAAGTGAATACAAGTTCAATACGGAAGCTAATGAAAGTCAGATCACACTAAGACAGTGATAAGGATGGCACATATGAAAAAGAAACTGTAGACCAACTCCTTTTACAAATAAGACTACAAAATAAATAAAGCATTAGCAATTAATTTTGGTAATTTATACCTGAAATACAGTTATGGTTCAGAATTTGGAAAACTATTCATATAATGTAGCTTGATAAGCACTGAAAAAGCATCTGATTAAAAATGCAACAGCCATTCATGATTTTGAAAATACGAATACAAGGCAAAATACGAATAGGAGAGTTGCTTAATTTGTACACCCTCTTCTGCTTAAAAATCTTTAAGGCTCTTTACTGCAGTTAGAACAACATTAAAAAACCCGAACAAGCTTCTCTATGACCTCGTAACTCACTACTGTCCTCTTCACTCCTGCCGTACTGATCAGCGTTGTTCCTTAAACACAAGAACTTTCCCACTGCACAGCCCCTACACACACACACAGCTCTCTCTGCACTGCTCTTTGCTCAGCACATCACAAAACTGGTTCTTTCTCATCCTTTACCTCTCAACTGAAAGAACACCACAATGTAAAGAGTTGCTATCTACCTCGACATGGCGGGATTAACTCTAGTCTGTCTAT